AAGAAAACAGAGAGGCATTACTTGTAAGATRAAGTATTGTGTGTTTCTTGAAAGACTAATTTTTCTTCTGCAAGCTGGGAAGAAGCTGTGACTGTCAACTAGTGCTACATTTGTGTTTACTCTGGTTAAATAGAGACACAGAGGTTCTTTAAACCCCCCGAGCTGAGCTGGCAGTATAGTAATTATGTGTAGTACTTAAGAGGTTTGTAAGGATGTGTCTTCTGTAATTAGCTTAGGAAGAAGAGCTCGGATCACCCACTATCTTGGAACACTTGGCTATAAGGAAAAGAATTCTGCTGGGGGGGGAGATACTAATGATTAGGCATTCCTACTCCTAGTGCTGAATTAATGCTAGGGGACAATTTGAGACACAAATATCCTTATAATAATATATATTATATATATARTTTCCTCATAACCTTGATATATGAAATCCCATAGGATGAAAGCTGTCTCTCCCTCTGACTTTCTTACCAGCTTCTTGGGATGGAAACAAACTTACTTCACGTAGCCAGCAGTAGGAGTGAACTGTATCCTTACCAACATCACTATTGTTACAARAAGACTGATACCTAAATAAGCCTGCATAAAAACATTCCATATTTCAAAGCGGGAAAATACTGTAATGACTGCTTAGGTGTGGTGCAGTTTTACTTTATGGAAATGAACACTGATATTTTTCTTTTTCCTCTTTTGATTAGGGTTTKTGATTTGTCCGCTGCAGTCAATGGCTAGACTTTTATTCAGTAGATATCACACAGACATCTGTTATTACAGAGATATTAGATAGGTTAGAAACAGTGAGTAAAAGAAAYGGTGCGTGCAGTTAGCAGTGCACGTTCCTCACGAATAACCTGGGGCATTGAGTGCAGAAAGCAGGGCAGGCTGCGGTGCTGAGACTGACCTGAGCCCTCTCAGAAAGGATGGAAAGGATCTCTGTGGAAGGCAGGGATCCCCGGCCAGCCCAGCATGGCCACCCSCCGCACCAGCGAGACTGGTGGCTCCCGCCTCCATTGCTCCGGTACATTTTGACAGGCCCGAGCATTTCTCTGCGGGAGCTAAAGGTTCAGCAAACATTCAGCCGAAGCTCTGGCTCCCGCAATGTTTGGGCCGGTCAAAACGCACCTCGCACCCCTCCGCGTGCCTGCAAKGCCTGTGGCTGCTCTGACACCTGCCCGGCATGGCCGAGCGCTGGGGAGGGCGCCGCGACAGTTGGAGCAGCCGTTAACGGCTGCCGCGTCGGGGGAAGGGCGCTGCGCCACTGTGCTTCCTCTGCAACGGCGAGAAAARYGCTTTCACSGCGGCTCGTTGGTCTAGGGGTATGATTCTCGCTTAGGGTGCGAGAGGTCCCGGGTTCAAATCCCGGACGAGCCCTACTTTTGTCTTCTTCATTTCTTTATTTTTTTTTGGGGGGGAGCCATTTCCGGGGCGCCCGCCGCTTGCCCCGCTCTTCCGCGAGGCGCGGCTGCGGCTCCGCACCGCGCGCAACCCCTAAAACAGCGGCGGGGCGGGCGCGGCCCCCGGACTCCAGGCCTCTCCACGAGCAGGGCGGCTCTGCCGCGGCCCGCACGGCGCCTCCCTGCCCGCACGGCGCCCGCGCGCGGGGCTGCTCCCCGCGTCCTCCCCGGCGCGGGCGCCTTGTCCCCGGCAACATAAGGAACGCCCGCGGGCGCGGCAAAACGGAGAGGGCGCTTCCGCRGGCCCCTCCCCTCTGAGGGCTCGTCCGGGATTTGAACCCGGGACCTCTCGCACCCGAAGCGAGAATCATACCCCTAGACCAACGAGCCGCTCTC